ATGCAGCCTCATACACGTAGCTTGCAAGAATGAACTGAGGCCCAGGTTCAGACTGCTGTGTGTGGGACGGTCCCCAGCATGCCCTGACATTCATCCTATAGCCTGAAAGGGAGCAGCACTTGGAGTCTGTGTCCATTCACTCCAGGGTTCGTTTGCAACATGGGGGGCAGAAACAAGGTGCTTTGTCCCTGGCCAGGTGTGGGGAAGACCTCAGCCGTCACCCCAAGCAAATCACTAGGGATGAGGCGCAGGCTGGGAGTGAGTGAACGGACCCAGGAAGAAGAGTGGAAGGGGTGTGTGTGGGGGGGGGGGGGGAGAGAGCTGCAGGTGACGAGTGCAGGCAGACACACGGCGAATCCGAGGGTGTGAGGCAGAGACGAGGGCTCCGGGAAGGGCAGGGGCCACCCAGCAGAGCCCTCAGAGTTGAGGCTTAGGGAAGAGACAGAAGAATTACACAAAGCTGAGAAAGGATCAGGGTCAGAACTGTGATGCGTGGTTCTATCCGCGGCCAGAACCAGAGCTCTGAGTGCAGAAACCTGTACCTGTAAGAACTTTCTGGTGGACCTGATTAGAAATGACCTGACACGAGGGGTATGTAAGTTTGTGCAGGGTGACATCTTGGCCGAGATTAGAGCTGACTTGGGCCTCAATGAGATGTCCTCGCTGGGCTGGGGTGCTGACTTTAGCAAGAGAGCAAGAAAAAGCACCAAGAAGGAGAGCTGCAATCATCTTGAAAAGCTCTGTGTATGTCTTTTTATGCACTTACAGGTAATAAGAGAAAGACCTGTATGATGAAAATTACAAAATGCTCATCAAAGAAATCAAAGAACACCTACATAAATGAAGAAATATCTGTGCTCATGGGTTGGAAGACTCAGCAGAGTAAAAGCGTCAATTCTAGCCAAACCGGTAACAGTTTCGGTGCAATTCCCATAAAAAACTCATCAAGGTTTCTGCAGACACAGAAAAGCCAATTGTAAAATTCACATGGAAAGGGCAGCACTCTAGAAAACAATCTTGACAAAGAAGAGTGTAGTGGGAGGCATCACTCGTAAGCCTTACCAAGGCTTACAACAGAGCGACAGTCATCAGGCCAGTGTGGTGCTGGCCACAGAACAGAAAGGCGGCCCCGGCACCGGGCGTTCCTTGACCTGTGAGTGTTGACCCATGCCGTGAGTTCCGGAGTCTCTCCTCTCTCTCCTCCTCCCCGGGAGGTCTAATTCTGGCGGGAGTTTCTGCATCACCCAGCTTTGGGTGGGTGAGCTGGGTGGCCTGCCAGCCTCCCCTGCCCATCCTCTCTGCACGTGACACCCCGTCACCTCTCTGGGACCAGGCCTCTGTCCACCCCTCAGAAGAATGAGGCCCGTGTCTATGTTGCTGACCTCGCAGTTACCTCCACATCCTTCCTGGGAGCCCAGGATGCCCCAGGGCTGCTCTGGCTCTGGAGAGGACAGCAGGCACCCCCTCACCTCTGCCCCAGCCTCCTCCACCACTCTGTCCCTCTCTGTGGCCACCATATGGGCTCCTCACACCGACCACGTCCTGGAAGTAGGTGGGAGGTAGGGCACACGGCCCCTGGCCTAGTACCCCTCAGTCCATCGGGCTGTCTCTTCCTGATCCCTAGGGAGGCGGGTGAGACATCCTACAGTCCAGGAATGCTCTTGAATCCCCTGGGATGCCCTCCCACCCCCTTCCCATCTGCTCTGTGTAAACTCTCTACTCTGAGTCTCCCTGGGGCGGAGCCTGGTGCTTTGCTTCTCAGAGCAGAGTTTGCATCACCAGGTGGGTCTTCCCCTCCTGGGCCTCAGGGGACCCTTGTGGGTACTCCTGCCCCAGGAAGTTGGTCTCAGCCCAAGGTTGGGCTCGAATGGAGGACACGCTGTGGGCACACAGCTCAGCCAGGGAGGACAATGGCCGGCCACGCGTCTCCTGTGCTTTCCTGCCTGCACACCCCTGGGGGGCCTCTCTGGGGAGAGGAGAGCTGCCTTTGCTCCAGCAGGTGGATGGAGCACAGAGTGGGCACAAGTTCTGTCTCACTCAGCTTGCAGTCACAAGCCTGCCGCCCCGGGCCTGGAGCAGCACGGGCACCCTGGAGCCCAAGGCAGGCCCGCAGCTGCCTGGAGCGTGACAGCAGACTCCCCGAGGAGTGCTTCAAGTTGAGGCCTGAGGATGAGCAGGACTTGACAGGCGCCTAAGGGTGGAAGGGGCTCCGGGAAGAGAAGCCAGCCTGGCAGAAGGCCCTGGAACAAGGAGGGACTGACGGAGGCGCTGGGAGAGGCTCGGGCATAGGCGAGGCACCCTGCAGCCCGTGGCAGGGGTTCGGTCTTTACTTCAGTGTCTTCTGCCTCATGCATCAAACTTGAAGTGAGGGTAGAGGGTCCCGAACTCTTATCTGAAGTCCTTCCTTTGCCCCAACTCCTCACAACTCACCTGGGCCCAGGGCAGGTGCTTGGCCAATGTCAAGACCACTGAATTATGGGGGCTTTGACGTGGAGCCCCTTTCATCTAGCCGATAAGAAAACAGAGGCACAGCGGGGCTAAGCCACTGTATTCTATCACGTGGCTCTGTGGCCTGGCGTGGCTGCTTCCACTCTGGGGAAAGGATGTGGCCAAGGCCAAAGCAGTCACCACAGTGCACTGGCTGGCCATCACGACTGGCTCAGGGATGGACACATGGACAGATTCAGGCCAAACCCAAGTAGCCTAAAAACTTGTTTGCAGTCTCTGATGTATAGCCCTAGAGCTGCTGAAAGGCTGCTCCTTGGAAAAATCTGTTTGAGAGTGAAAGTGAGTCAAAGAAAGCTAAGTGAGTGAGTGACAGTTCCTTGAGGCCTTATGAGAGCACCTGGATCCACCTATGCCTGAAGCTGTGCCTTGAACTTTTTAATTACATTCATCAATGTGTTTCATTATTTGCTTGAGATAATTTGGCTTGTGTTTCTGGTATCTGAATCTTACAAGTTCTGGCTAATTTAGCACCCCCGGCCAGGCCTCCTTTTCCTCATCCTCTTCTTGACCAGTATAAAGAATGGAGCTTTCCTGAGGCTGTTCCCTAGCATGCAGCCCTTCCACTCACCTTGACCTCCAATCGAGGGGTTGTTGGTTGAGAGAAACTCATTCTTTTTCATACAGCCTCTGGCCCTGCTGTTCTGCACTTTTACCAGCATGGATCAGTCCTGACTGAGTGTAGGATACATTGCCAGTCTCTGTGGCCCTGTGCTCGCCCAGCCTCAGAGCCCCAGGTCCTCTGGACCTTGCAGTTCAAACGGCTGAAGCTGAGGGAGGATGGATCTGAAACCCTCTTCCCAGTTCTCCCCAGGGCCTCTCTCAGGCCTGCCAGTGCCGGTTAGCTGTGAACACAAGCTGCTGGGGGCTGAGAAGGCTTCCTTTTTCCAATGGCCTTTTCCAAGCCAGAAAGAACTAAAATGTGAGCTCCCCCTCCTTTAACCTCCGGCAGAACTTGTGGTGCTCCCGCACGCTGGGGGCCCCTGAGAGCACACACCAACCTCGGGAGAAAACATCCCCAGTGGAGGCAGAAGACAGCAGGGCCTATCCGCGTGCGGATCAGAAAACAAGCCCTGCTGGGGGTGGGCTCCACGCCACTACTGTCCTCAGCAGCTCTGAGGCTCTAGGAGAGGAATCTGACGTCTCCAAGCCTCAGTCTCTCTACCCATATTTGGACATGCAGACGTCCTCTCCTGGTCATTGACGGGAAAAACGAAGTCGTCCACGTGGAGGGTTTAACATGGTGTGGGGAGAGAGCAAACAAGCCAAGAAGGCATGTTCAGCTCTCTCACCCGCGTTTTGTAAACGATGACTAGGGAACGGCTGTGATCATTTATAGCACCACACATGCATGTCACAGGGTCCTCACTTGGTCACGGGCGACTGTGTATGGTCAGCACATGTGAGCTCCACCTAGAAAGTGGCATTACTGCTGCGTGGGGTCAACCACGAGAGGAGACAGTATCACGTGTCTGCGGCATCACCCAGGAGAGAAGACTGTTGTGGCCACTGCATCAGCCAGGAGAGATGCTGTATTACGGCTGCTGCACCAGCCAGGGGAGAATAAATGTGTCTGCAGTTCCTACGGCTCCTCAAGCCTTCTTCCAGCCTCTTAGCTATTGCCTTGCCTGCCCTGGGTTCCACCAACAGTGTGAACAGTAAGACAGTTGGTGCTGTGAGCAGGATGAAGAGCAATACACAGGATGCCTGGACCCTGCTCAAATCTCCCTGAATATTTCTAGCTGCAGCCAGCATGAGGCAGGTGCCGTCCTCAACCCCCTGCAATGGGGGCTGCCCACAGTGCCAGTGGAAGCCCAGGTCAGCATGAGGCAGCGCACAGGGCTCGTGGCTTAGATGCGAACATGTGGGAAGGCTGGGCAGAGAACGGACATCATGGGCCAGCCTGGCTCATTTCCAGAGGGTCTGCCTTGAGCCTCCTGATGAGTCCTTGGTCTGGGGACCTGGTGCAGCGTGGGGCAAGGGGACTCTGGGAGGACAGGCACCCCCAGAAGGGGGCGGGGGCTGGGGTGGGGGCTGGGGAGGCTGGTTCCCAGGCTCCCACCTGCAGATGCTCTCCCGGAGGAGGCCGCGAGGTGGTAACAGGCTCCAGGGAGCCCTGGGGCTGTTCTTTAAAAATAAAAACAACTGTCCATCTCAGGTGAGAGTCAAGACTTTGAAAGGAGAGAAAGCCCCCAAGGGCCCCAGGACATGTGCTATTGGGTGAAATAATTAAGAAAAGCTGCCTGGATCGCCCACAGAGACATAAATCATCCTGGGCCACTGGGGACTGGTACTCACGGTCCAGCTCCTAATTCTTCACAGCTGTCCCTGTGGGACAGGCCTGGGGGCGCGAGTAGGGAAGGGGGTGGGGACCCAGAGACGCAGAGGAGACGGAGAGAGGGAAAGGGAGACAGGGGCTCAGGGGCGAAGCAGGATGGAGCACTCGAGAGGGGACCCACGGGCTGAAGGGGACGTGAGATATGCAGATTGAGAGGATGAGGGAAGGTAAGAGGTCTAGGGAGGTCTACATGGTCCTGCTCCGGGAGCCTTCAGCCTGTGCCTGCCTGCAGCTCCTGGGCCCGGGAGGCACAGGCAGGCCGGTCGAGGTGGCCAGAGACGCCACCTGCATCCTGCTCCTCCTCCCTCCGCAGACCCAAGATGGAGCAGAGGGTGGCAGTCCCGTGAGTGGGGAGCCAGGTAAGCCTGAGTGCCAGTCCCGGCTCCCAACAGTTGGTGACAGTCACACCTGATACATGCCATTCTCACTCAATGCCAAGAATGTGCTCTAAGTGTTTATGTGAACTCTCCCAAGACTCCTGTGAGATGGCTTCATGATATCTCCATTATACAGAAGAGGCAACCAAGACCCAGCACAAGTAAGAAAATGCCCCGGCAGGATTTCCCAAGGGTTGGTAGTGTTCAGAAAGCCCCCTGCAGGATGCTGGGAGCCCAGGGGAGAGAAGCCATCATTATTGCCCCTGACAACATAATGGTCCCACCAAGAGCTAGGACCAGAGCTAATGAGGGCCCCTGGCATTCTGCACATGGGTCTGCTCCCCTAGGACTGATGAGAAAGTCAGAACAAGTGGACCAAACATCAGGAGGGCCTTCCTGACACTACCACCACCTCATGCACAGCCTCTATCCTTGGGGAGATGCCAGGCACTCAGAGCTCGGGCTCTACCCATCTAGTCTTGCAAAACACAGGATCTGGGACCAGCTCTGACTGGCCAGCCCTCCTGGCTCACAGGGATGCCGCTGTGCCTCCGCATTTCTTGGGGACATCATGGTGCATACTCGCATGTCTGTGCTGGGCTTCCACTTTGGAGACGTTGTTTCAATGAAGACCCAGCACAGCCAAAAATAAAACAAACAATTTGGAATTTGTGGGCGGCAACCAAGGCATTAATGATTGATGGCAGTTGTTTCCCATCTATTGCCTACAGGAGTCCCATTCTAAACTCTAGAAGGCTTGGATGGGGTTTCCTTCCATTAATACTTACTGAGTCTGCCTTAGCCTCCATGATTAATGGGGACAACTTTGTAGTTCTCCCCATTAGCCCCAAGTGACCAGGTGAGGTATGAACATGGAATGCAGGCTGGACTCATCAGAGGCTTCCCCAGGTCACATTCCCTAGGGAAGTGAGAGCCTCAGTCTTCCCAGAAGCTGGGAAGCATGTAAGGCAAAGCTGTCCCAGGGCCACGTGTCTGGCTCTGAGGAGGAGGTCTGTCTGAGAAAAATCAGCTCGCGGGAGGAGATGGAAGAGTCTTGGAATATCAGAGGCCTGACACAAAATTCCAACACAAAACTGATCCTGATAAAAGGAGTTTCAATAAAGTAAAAATGGCAATAGGAAACAGGGATCTTTTTAAACTTCTTTGTGGAAAAGCAATCAAGAAATGAAATTACTGTGATGGAATTAACTAAAGAAAACACATTCTTCTCTAAAAAAACATACTGAAACATTTTTAGCTAATAGGTTTTTCTTCATACAGTCAAAAGCCTGTTGAGACAACGGATCCAAGATGCCCTAAATGTAGTAGCTAAAAGATATCTTTCTCACCATTCCCCCATCTGCCCTCTGAGCCTGTAAGTAGATAGCACTTCTTACAGACACTTCATATGAAAATAACACATTATCCTAACTTTTATTTTTAAGCAATCCCTTAAGTGAAGCACTTGACAGCTCATAGATACCTTCATATTTTCAAAAGTAATCAAAAGTAGTCAAACTGCAACTACTTAATAGCAAGATTTTGAAACAACTCATATGCCCATCAATGGATGGATGGATGAAAAAGATGTGGTATATATATACAATGGGATATTGTTCAGCCACAAGAAAGGACCATATCCTGCCATTTTTTTTACAACATGGATGAACCCTGGGCAGATTATGCTAAGCGAGATAAGTCAGACGTGCATGTGTGCATGCTAAGTCATGTCCGACTCACTGCAACCCTGTGGACCATAGCCTGCCAGATTCCTCAGTCCATGGGATTCTCCAGGCAAGAATACTGGACTGGGTTGCCATGCCTTCCTCCAGGGGATCTTCCCAACCCAGGAACTGAACCTGAGTCTCTTATGTCTCCTGTACTGGCAGACAGATTCTTTACCACTGAGCCCTCTGGGAAGCCCATAGATAATAATAATATTGTACTATAAATACGTAGTGTGATAAATGTTGTGACAACTAAATTACAATATATAAATGCATCAAAGTAGCATGCTATACACTTTAAGTTTACACATTACGTGTCAAGTTTATCCAAAAAATTCTCTGGGTTTCCAATCCCTCCCCTTCATTTGTTCAGCTTCTCAATGCTCCCCATTTGTTCAGCTTCTCAAGATTTTGTCCAATGGTATCTTCATTATCATCACCACTTGTGTCTCTGAAACTGAGAGTGTGTCTCCCGTAAGACTAGTCTTTGCCAAGCCTTCCCCTCCCTGCTGCATATGACTGACCTCACTGGTGTACAACACCAAGCAAGGAACTAGCTTGGTAGAGAGTAGTTCTTTCCCTTGTGGGTGGGGAGCATGGGCATCCCTGTCCATTCTGGCGCAGAGGATGGGGTAGGTCAAGGTCTAAGGTGACCTGGCCAGAGTAAGATTTCTGAAGCAGCTGCCGGGCAAGGAGGGATGTAGGACAATAGCTCCTCTAGATTGCACAAGCCCCGTTTGTCTCTAGCTGACCGCTCCAGGAACAGAGTGGTTCTGCAGCCGCCTTCTTCTTCCTGAGTGTAAGTCCAGGGAACCAAGGACTGCAGATGCCAGCTAGGGGCTGGAGGTACTGCTTTCTATTTCTGTACTCCTTTTTTCAAGGTGTGAGATTTTCCAATGTTCCCACCTGACCTTTCCACAAATACTGTTTTTCTGATATTATTAACATATAACATAGCAGAATATGAAAAAAAAAGAAGCAAAAGAAAAAAAAGAGAGAGAGAGAGAAGTGAAAGGCAAGGGAGAAAGCAAAAGGTATACCCAACTGAATACAGAGTTCCAGAGAAGAGCAAGGACAGATAAGAAAGCCTTCTTAAGTGAAGAATGCAAAGAAATAGAGGAAAACAATAGAATAGGAAAGACTAGAGATCTCTTCAAGAAAATGGGAGATATCAAGAGAAGATTTCCTGCAAGCATGGGCACAATAAAGGACAGAAATAGTAAGGACCTAACAGAAGCAGAAGAGATTAAGAAGAGGCGGCAAGGATACACAGAAGAGCTATACAAGAAAGATCTTAATGACCAATAACCACAATGGTGTGGTCACTCACCTAGAGCCAGACATCCTGGAGTGTGGAAGTCAAGTGGGCCTTAGGAAGCATCACTATGATCAAAGCTATTGCAGGTGGTGGGATTCCAGCTGAGTTATTTAAAATCCTAAAAAATGATGCTGTTAAAGTGCTGCACTCAGTATGTCAGCAAATTTGGAAAACTCAGTGGCCACAGGACTGGAAAAGGTAAGTTTTCATTCCAATCTCAAAGAAGGGCAGCGACAAAGAATGTTCAAAATACCTTACAATTGTGCTCATTTCACATGCTAGCAAGGTAGTGCTCAAAATCCTTCAAGCTGGGCTTCAGAGAACTTCCAGATGTACAAGATGAGTTTCAAAGAGGCAGAGGAACCAGAGATCAAATTGTCAACATCCACTGGATCACAGAGAAAGCAAGGAAATTCCAGAAAAACATCTACTTCTACTTCATTCACTTTGACTGTGACTTTGTGTGGATCACAACAAACTGTGGGAAATTCTTAAAGAGATGGGAATACCTGTCTCCTGAGAAACCTGTATGCAGATCAAGCAACAGTTAGAACCAGACACAGAACAATGAATTGTTTGAAAATTGGGAAAGGAGTACATCACGGCTGCATATTGTCACCCTGCTTATTTAATTTCTATGCAGAACACATCATGTGAAATCCTCGGCTGGATGAATCACAAGCTGGAATCAAGATTGCCATGAGAAATATCAACAACCTCAGATATGTAGACGATACCACTCTAATGGTTAAAGTGAAGAGGAACTAAAGAGCCTCTTGAAGGTGAAAGAGGAGAGTGGAAAAGCTGGCTTAAAACTCAACATTCAAAAAAATGAAGATCATGGCATCTGGTCCCATAACTTCGTGGCAAATAGAAGGGGAAAAAGTGGAAACAGTGACAAACTTTATTTTTTTGAGCTCCAAAATCACTGCAGATGGTGACTGAAGTCATGAAATTAAAAGACACTTGTTCCTTGGGAGAAAAGCTATGACAAACATAGACAGGGTATTAAAAAGCAGAGACATCACTTTGCTAAAAAAGGTCTATATAGCAAATCTATGGTTTTTCCAGTGGTCATGAATAAATGCGAAAGTTGGACCATAAAGAAGGTTGAGTACTGAAGAATTGATGCTTTTGAATTGTGATGCTAGAGAAGATTCTTGAGAGTCCCTTGGACTTCAAGGAGATCCAATCAGTCAATTTCCAAAGGAAATCAACTCTGAATATCTATTGGAAGGACTGATGCCAAAGCTCTAATACTTTGGCTACCTGATTCAAAGAGATGACTCATTGGCAAAGACCCTGATGCTGGGAAAGATTGAGGGCAAAAGGAGAAGGGGGGACAGAGAATGAGATGGTTGGATGGCATCACTGACTCAATGAACATGAATCTAAGCAAACTCCAGGAGACAGTGAAGGACAGGGAAGTCTGGTGAGCTGCAGTCCATGGGATTGCAGAGACTCGGACATGACTTCAAGACTAAAAACAACAACAACAACAAAAATACACTTGTATTTGTTGGCAAATGATTGCTATAATAAGTCTAGTTAATATCCATCACCACACGTAGTCACAAAATTTGCTTTTCTTTTGACAAAAACTTCTAAGATTTACTCTCGTAGCAACTTTCAAGCATACAATACAATATTAACCATAGTTCCCATTATTAACCATTACATCCCCATGATGTATTATTATTTATTGTATAGCTGGGGGGTTGTAATTTTTAAGCTCCTTCACCCAACACATGATTTTTAATAAGGACACACAGTGGGCTAACTTCAGCTTGATGTCCTGGATTTAGAGAGGTGGAGGGGAGAGGGTGGGGGTAATTGGAGAGAGGGTGGGTAGGAAGAGGAAGGGGCAGGAGTCAGGGAAGTAGTGTGGGGAGAAGAGGAAGGGAGTGGGGGAGAAAGAAGCACAGCACACAGAGGAG